AGTCTGTGTCCCTTCTGGATATCAGCTCCTTAAGAGCAGAGACTATGCTTGGTGCATCTTCATCTGTCTACCATCAAAGCCAGCATCTGTCCCAGAGTGGAGGATAAGTATTTATTGATGACAGAAAGCAAGAAGGTGTTATAAAAAGCAGAATCTGTTAAGTGGCAGTCAAGCCCAAACTCAATAATTGAGACTAATTGGAAAAGAATAAAGGCCAGGCTCAATGCTTAAAAAGTGTTTTTGTGGAATGCCTCTTACATAAGCGGTAAAAAGTAAATATTTCAGATTTACTTCAGTTGTGGTTAGGAAAAAGACTTAGGGAACCTTCAAAATAACTGATAAGCCTTCTCTAATTAGCAAGTCACTTCTGTGGTTACACAATTTTTTCCAGAAATTTAAAAAGTGCTCTACTGCTTTTATACTTCTGAATTTCCCCAAGTGTTCTTGCTTACCTGATATCACATCTTTTTGCACTAACCACGTGGAAGCTGTGCTTCAAGAACATGATGTCAGCTTCACCTTGTTCTAATTACAGCAAATACAAAGGTAGTGACATTCAAAGAATAAGGGTTTACACATAGAAGCTGGACTCCTGAGAGCGACGTTGGGGGCCTGCCTCACTCCTGGCACCTAGTCATAGTGGCTCTGGCCTTGGCCCTTTGCAGGTCCTGGGATTAGGCAGGGAAGTGTGATTCTGAGCACAGGCAGCCATGAAGTGAAGATCGCACCAAAAAGTTTGTCGAAGTGAAACTTCTGTGCTAATATTCCAAGGCTTCCTTCTTGGAGGTAAACAATGGAAGTAGAAAAAGGAAAAAATACTGTTCACTATTATGACAGTCAACTGCCTATAATGGAGCCTGAGTAGGCACTGCAAGGGATAAGAAATGTGTAATGACCATTGAGAAAAAATGACCGATAATTACCTTTAGGAATATTTTGTTAAAGGGTAAATACTGAAGATGTTGATGGGAGTTTTCCAGGCTACTTTCTTCAAGTTCTTACTGTTAAAATAGAATTTCCACTGTCTTATGGCCAAAATCAGTAACTTGATATGTGGCTGATAGCGTATCTTAAAAATAAATGAGTAGATTACTAAAGATTCATTTGTCTTTCAGATTTACAAATTATTACATTGAATCACATTATTTCCTTGAAACTGTTTACCTCAAAAAACAATAAATAATGTTGAGTTTATATTCCATAAAATCTATGCAGCTGACAAATACAGTGTTCATTTTTTCAATTATTTTAATTATAGAAAGCTCAGAAGGAAACAAAATACTTAAAAATCAAAGCTTCCAATGGTGTAACTAAGAAAATATTTTGGACATTACCTATAGTTAACAGCTTTTGAGTTTAACCCCCTGTCTGTATAAAAAGATGTTCAGAACAAACATCTACTTCTAATTTCTCCTCTCACCCCTCATCTGAGTAGATTTTATTTATGCATTAGATGACCTTTTTGGCCATTAGAACCATCTTGCTCCAGCAGTTAATTAACATAAGTACCATAATTTAATACAGTTAATGCTACTTGATGCCCTTTAATGTACCTTCCATTAGTGATATTATTGTAGTATTACCCTGTAAATTAAAATGAGATCAAGACTAAGAGAGCCGCTCTTTAATTAAGGTACTGGCACACTGCACTCGTCTATTATTCACTGGAGAAAATCACCCTGATTTACTGAAGCAGGACATCCATAAGTCAGAATTAGTCCATGTAGATTATTAGGTTTATTGAACAATGTAAGTACTACGGAGCTGCTGAAATTGCCAACAGCCATGTTTCCTCTTTTTCCTTCATTATCTTAATAAATACACAATGAAGGGAGTAAATGGAAGCAAAATAAGTATGTGGCAAAAGAGAAATACATTTTTTATGATGAGATTACACTTTTTTCTTACTAGTAAAACAGGTATCAGACGTGTCACATTCCGAAAAGAACATAAATGCTACATTAGTCTAATATCAATGAAAACACTATTTTTCCATCAAACAACACTAGCCAGTATAAAACAAACACATGGGCAAAGAAATGGAGAATTGAATCTCACAAGCTCAGTCATCTCAAGCAAAGATCAACTATTTTTGTCTCACAGTTTAAGATTTCAAGGTAAAAAAATACTGAATTCTCTGTCCCCTATACTATGGATGTTTACATCTGGTTTCCATTCTACTTTCCCAAAATAACTTATGTCAATTTCCACATTATGGTGGGGGTGGGGATAGAAGTAACAAGTTGAAAAATATCATTATCATGATCAGATATAGACCTGTAAAGTCATGTTAAATGTTGCAATCATTTCATGGGATGGTGGGGGCTGGTGCAAGGAACAAGAACTTCAGTTGTATTTTGAAAAGTGTACATTTATGAGAGCCTTGAAAGGGAAACTTTAGAACTTTCTTTTAGAGATCATCAATTAATATTTAATCCTTCTATAGATGATTTGTTATATAAGAGAAAGACAATCTAGATCATTAATCTTACTGAAACTTTCAAGGGTAAAATAATTAGATCAGCTTCTATGCTGAAAGGCCCCTGAACCAGACTATAGCTCAACATTTCCCTTCACTGGCTCCATCATCAGCAGATCTTCTTTACATAACTTAAAAGCTGGAGATACGCCCGAGCCATCAGACCTTGCTTCTTTAGTCCCTCCCCTAAGACAAAAATACTCCAGCCATCTGGTGCCTAGTGCAGTACATGCCAGCATCAGTTCTGCCCTGAGGATTTGGACAAAGTCTGGAGGTGACAGAAGAAGACCTTATGGAAGGGGCTCACCTCTACTGGACCTTTCTCGTTTGCCCAGCTGCTTCTCTTCAGCTTACAGCTGACTGATGAACAAGAAAAGACAGTGGAGCTGAGTCCAGGGAAGGAGGGAGGAGTTCTCTAAACTCCTCAGAACCACTAAAATACAGTTGGAGGACATGACTAGTCTGGGAGATGGAAGAAATGTGATAGATCTGAAGGGATCTACATTTCCAACACACCACCTTTAGAAGACGGCATGCTTAACAGCAGCGGAGAATGCATAAAAATGCCTTTAGCTTTCAGGTTTATTTTACACTTTCTTTTAAATTATTAGAGGAAACAAAATGAATACTAATAACAAAAATAAGCATCAGCAATAGGTTTTTCCCAACCAAAATGCTTCAGAAGATTGCCTTTTTTTACAAGTGGCAAATAAAGGTATTTGGAGAAGTGGAGGAATAAGAATTTGGGCTCAGATTAAGTATTTCTTAAACTGCAAGGAAACTGACCTAGATGAATCCACCGAGCAATGTAGATTACATTAGGATTAAAATCCAAATCTTAGTTTGTTAATTTTTTACCATTATTCATGTAGATGAATAGAATATCTGTTACTTCATTGTGGCAAGCGATAGTTAATAATATCAATATCAACTATTTTCATATATCATACATCCCCAAGAATAAGATCCTGGAAGCTAATAGTCTTTTGCTAAAATGTTCATAAGTATAATTGCTGTGTATTATTATAAATAGCAAACTCAAGTTTAAGACAACAGCTCCATATTGCCGTGTGATGTACCCTGCTAGTAATACATGAACTATCCCCTACAGCTTAGAACTCACAAGTTCAATATTGTTCTGCTTTAAAGACATATTCGTTACATACCACGAAGACCTTGGTCAAAAGTTTTAGGAAAAGCTTCGCAGATAAAGGCTCTTGATTCTTCCGTGAGGAACATGAAGCTAGAAAAAGCTGAGAGTAGATGGCCACCAGTTTCTGCTACTTTTCCACAGCTAAGACTCTGAAACTTTTGACCCTACACTACAGTCAAGCCCACCACTCCATTCTGTGTTCCCACTATGGTCTTTACCTTAACAGCAGTGACCTTTCTTCCAGCACACATAGGTAAGGCAAATCTCTGACAGACCAGAAAGTCTCAACACTTCTCCAATTTCTGAGAACTGGGCTGCCTAAAGGATGCTGGCAGTCAATAAAGTGAATCAATCCTGCCTTATCTGTTTGAATTTTATCATTAAATATTTAAACCTACATGATATAGACTATTTATATTCTTATCCTCATATATTTCCATTTAAAGATATCTTGGCCTTTTTACTGGGGTGTTATTTCTTTGCTTGCCTTTCTCTTTGTTTCCGTTGCTAGATACTCTGCTCTTACCTTTAGTTTTCCCACTCATTATCTCATGCCTCCACTCCCATTAGGTGGTCATTTTGATAATATACCACACTTAAAAAGCGGGTTGAAAATCTCTGTATGGTGGTTCTGGTTCTCATTATTGAAGTTTTTCATTTAAACATCTTCAAAATTCTCGGAAATTTGCTCAATTCTATCTCTAGTATATTACCAGAACCAAAGCTATCCCTGACTGTGTTTAATTCATGTGTTTAAACTCTGTCCATTTGTTATTGATCTACAAGATGAAGGGAGCCCCACTCAGGTCTATATTTTAAATGCTAGTATATCTTTTTGACAAAATAATATCCGGAAACATGAAAAGTAGAGCTTGTCCCAATGTAACAAATATTTCCTATACGCTATTGATTCTGATTTAATAAATTAAAAGAAATACAACTCGGATTTCCAGATTTTTTGTGCAATATTACACAAAACATAAATTGACTATTGTACCATGTTGAATACCCGCTTTGCGTTTGTAAACAATGGTATGTTGTGTTTCTAGTTTTTCAGTTCCTTATAGGGCAAATGCTTTTGCTTCCCCTGGCTTCATTGCCTTAAAGACTTAAAGGACCTCCCGACCCAGGGAGTTACTTTTTAAATTCTGAAGAATCATGCCAGGTTCAGTGACAGCAAGTTTGGGATTACGAATGACTGCTGAGGATGAGGGGCTTACAATACCTTTGGAACCTACTTCTACACTAGAGTTCCTGAAGAAAATGTGGCAGTAGAAATTGACAAACGTTACTTTACAGCAGTGAGACACTCTGGCATTTTCTTTGGACACACCCGTTCCCATTGAAGGCAGACAGATTTTCTCTTACCTTCCTCGCACCTTTATGTCTGAGATCGCGTAAAAGTAGCGTGCCAAGTGTAGCTCATCTACAAATATTTCCCCAACGGCTGGTCTTAACAGCCTTATCCTCAGGTCTGTGACTGTAAAGAAATCTCTGAGTTTCTTGGTTGTATCCAGCTGTCCGTAGAGGGAAGCCATATTGCGTAGGCGAGGTCCAGCAAAAAACGCGAACCTGTCTTTGATTTCAAAGTGGATTATTTTGCTATTTGTTGTATACCCTGTTGAGTACTCTTCTGTGCAAATGATTTCTAAGACCGTATGCTGTGATAAATCCTTCACGGATTTAGGATCCATGTGAAAAGCATCTAAGCAGTCTGTGGCATAATACTGATAGGGCTGCCATGTTCGTCCATAATCGAGAGACTTCTCCAGGATCATTTGGTCTGGACGCCCCGATTCAAAGGTAATAACTATGTTGTCTGTTAGCTCAATGGTTTTGCTCCAAGACAGAGTGATGTTAACCTGGAGAGGCTTGGGATACTCCTTCCAAGTGGCAGACTGCCAAAATGTGGAGGGATGTCTTCCTTCAAAATCAAACATCAGCTCAGGGGGGTGTGCCAGCTCAGGGGTACTCGCATCACACTCATTATTGCACATGTAGGGATTACCCTATGGAAGAAGAACAAAAGAGGGTGCATCAAAACACTGGTTTGCCACAAGTCTTGCCATATTGCTGTTGCTCAGTAAGAGGCTAGAAAAGGGAAAAAAAAAAAATCTGTTTTCAGTAATCATTTTTATTTGCCCTAACTGGATTCTCCTCTTTAATAGCTTTAAAAAGAAAAAAAAGCAATATGGTAATTTTCTTGTCTTGTTTCCTTCCATGTGCTTTAAGAAATGAAAACAGTTTATTTATCCCATATGTGTTAGATCCATAATGTGGTCACAGAAGCACAAAGACACTGAGCAACTGTCTAACAGCTCAATACCTCTGCTTCCTCTTAGAAAGATGCTATAGAAAAGCAAGGGAAATTCCTCCCTGCCTGAAGGACATTCCTTAAGAGTACACTTCTTTTAAAATTCATTTTTCAAGCAAAGCTTTAGAATGAGCCATGAATCATAGATACCTGTGTTCTATGGGGGAGACAATACCCCCATACAACATTCAGCCTTTTTTTTTCTTTGGCTTTCCCTGAAATCCATCATACTTAACTAGGTCCTTGCTTCATAATGTCTGGTTTTACAACATTTACTTTGTTCACCACAAATTATTAAAATGTGGTACCCTAAAGGCTCTGGGGCTTGGTCCAAATATCTGCCAGTCTACTAGGTAAAGATAAAAGGATTGTTCAGGAAAGTCTTGGGACTGGGAGTGTGCTCCAAGTTATCAGGACAAAAAACCCTACTACTCAATTAGGAGGCTGTTGCAAATCAAACCACAGCCACTTGATGTGTTTGTTACTCAGTGCCAGCCCATAGGCAGTTCTTCATGGATGTTAGTTATTATTATTCTACCTTTAACAAATGCTACTTCCTTCACAGCCATTCAAACAAGAAGCTAGAAATAAATCTCCTAGTTATATTACAAGCTACAACACTGCTTATGCTACACTAAATGGCTACTCTCAGCTTTCATCAGTAGATTCCATGGCAAATGACAAGTTACCAGATTTTTGTTGATTTCGTTTTTAAGAAAACAAGCAATAGCATTAGGACTCGACTATTCAGGTGTTTCTTATTCCGTACTCAGTTATTATGAGCATGGCTGGGTGAAATGAACTGATCCTCTGACATTGTCCTTGGGCTTCCTTTTGTAATTACAATTAGGTTTCTTTCTTTCTTTCTTTCTTTCTTTTCATGAACTGTGAGCTTTTCATCATACCTGTAGGATATAGGACCGAGGTCTCAGATAATGAATTTACACTTTAGATACTGACACTCAGTTACTGGCTGACTCTTATGAAATATAAGATGAACATGAGAGAATTGCTTTGGTCTCCCTAGAGGCAACTTTCTCCTACCTAGTCAGCTAATACTCTCACTCTCTCTTTCCCATTAATGTCACCGAATCCTAAAGTTGGCAACAGGTTTTGGAGATTCAAGCATAATTGTGATAGGGCAGGAGAAAGGAGAGAAGGTACATTATTTGAGGAACAGAACTGTTTTAAAAATACACTCAAGGAATCAGTGATAATGAAAATGTTTCTGTACTTCTCTCTCGACTTTCAATTCCCCAGTCCTGATCCCAGCGTCTGTGGCACTATTTATAGTATCCCCTTCAACATGAGCCAAGGGGAGGGGGGAAATAAGTTTCTGTTCCAGGTGGAATAAATCACCAAATTTATTATTATTTAAATTCTCTTAAGCATGCCAGAGAGCCAAATGCAAAGCTCTACAAACTGGCAAAGGCTTTTTATGGAGGGCTATAAATATTGTGGAATCTGTCAGGATTTATAAATTCTAAATATACGTAAATGCACATTTTACAGGAAGAGGTCAGATTTACACAAATCACACCTTCATTTGAAATTTACTGAAAAAATATGGTCACTTCAAAATCTGTCAGCATGCAGCCATCTGCAGTATCATTAACTTGGATGCTACCATCTTCCTCCTGACAAAAGCATCTCCATCTGAGGTCAGGGTATGGAAACAAGGGGAAGGGCACTGTGGGATCCACCAAAGTGAGTTATCGGATGTTTCTAGTAAGTTGTGTTGAAAGATAACATTTGTTTACCTTCAGCATTGGTGTGCAGAGCTTCTCAGATAGGGATAGGGCATTGGGACCACAGGAGATGACACATTAGGCTGCTTCTGGAAATTGGTCAATACTAACAAACCTATTTCATAAAATATGATTGAAGAAATCTATGTAAAGGGCTCTCATGCCTATACTCAATAAAAAGTATTGGCAATAACCACCATTTAGTTAGCACTTGTGTGCTGGACACTACGTACATTTTCCTGGGTAATCCTTTTCATTCCTACCTTATAGAAGAGGAAATTGAGGTATAGAGGTGTTAAGTAATTTGTCCAAGGTCACATAATAAAGTCAGTAAGAGGCAGAGACGAGACTGGTGCCTCTTACCCCTTCCCTGGCTTGCTGAATTCCCAAGTCACTGGAGTTCCCTCTGTTGTAGCCCTGTTGTAGAAACAGGATTGGCTGGTAGAAAGGAAATGTCTAAGACCAAGTGATTCAGGAAACACAGCCTAATCTTCTTGTCTTGGAGAGTCCTAATGAATGTTATCATAATCTGAGATATCTTGAAATTAAGAACCTTGTTTAACTTCACATGACACCTAGTTTCATAGATTTATATGACCACGGAGTCTCTTTCTAGTTTAGTAACTCCTGTTCATATTCTACAGAAGTCGTATCCTGGAGGGCCTCCTTGGAGATTCTCTGCTTTGTATCACTCGATATTGTAAACATCTGGAGGCCAAACAGCACTACACAACCCAGTTTTCGTCCTTTAATAAAGGCATAGCTACAGAAAGCACCAGGTCTGTTCTCAGTGAGCAATCCTTCCATTGAGGCTAAGTGGATCAGCCAGCTCAGGGCAAATGCCTACATTTGTGTCAAGTTCCTCATTGCTTTGCACAGATCTGGTGCCTTAGGCACCTAAAAAAATGAGAGTAAAGATTCATACATGCAACAGTTTGTTATTGATTGCCATATTTAAGGCCCTCAGCTTGGCTCTCAAGATACAGCAGTAAACAAATCCAAGTCCTTGCTTCCTGTGGCAATTCTATCTTAGTTGGGGGAGACACACTAAACAAACAAACATAATGTGTTATAATGTTACACAGTGATAAGTTGTATGGAGAAAATAAAGCCAATTAAAGGAAGCAATGGTGATTGCAATTTTATTTTGGGAAGTCAGAGAAGGTCTCCCTGATAACATGACATTTGATTTGACTAAGAACAATTCCCAATTTACACTGGAGATGATCAGAGGGGGTTGACCAGAATGACAGTTTAGTCCTTCATTTGACTCTATTCTTAGTGATATTTTTAGCAGCATAACAATTTATTGAAATCAATGGCTAAACAAATCATTTCAAATGAGAATCTACACCAAATGACTGTAGATACCAAAGGGGGAAAAAATCAGTTGGATTGTTCTCCCTATTTCATAGCACTCATGCTCTTTTAGGAGATTAGTGATTTGATGGCTACTAACATAACTTACTGAGATATGATGACATTAAGAGAAAATTAAAAGAGGAAGCAGGAAAAAAAAAAGATTTCAGTTTGATCCCCTGCACTTCAGGTGAGAGAAAGGAAAAAAAAAAAAGGTGAAGAAGCCGTAAATCTTATCTTTCCCCAAAGAAAAAGCTGGAGGAGAGATTACAGGCTACAATATTTAGTGTAAATATTTCACAGGGCATGATCTGTAATACTGTTGTTACAGAGAATTATCAATATGAAAATAATTCCTGTTAAAGGGATTAGATTAATTAAATTTTCAACTACTTCAACCCCACCCTAATCCTCTTTAATAACATCAACAATGAAATTTATATAAGAAAATGCAACTTTTCCTGACTTACAAAAACAAAGTACACTTCTTGCTGCTAATCTAACAGATTCAGGCATCAGGAAGTGTAAGTAATTATTTTGTGGCCAGCAGGCAGCCTTAAATAGATCTTAATTGAAGTCCGACAAGCAACATATCCTTAGCTGATTGTCTGTGGACAAAGCAGAAAATATTTATGACCGTGCTGATAATATTTACACCACTAACAAATGCCTAAATAATTAAACAGCCATTGCTGCTAAATATTTTTGTAACAATTAGAAGAAGATTGTGATGTTTAATTTCATTTTTAAAATGTTAATATTTTACCTCTGGGAGAATTGTAGTTATTAATTAGCAATTTGCAGTCAAAGTGGAATATTATTATTCTTCCTTAATATGCTTTCAGAATTCAGAGAGATAAATACAATTGGAGGCATGCTGTTACTGTTTCTGTTGATGGAATGTGTCTTCCTTCCTTCTGGCAAAGTGACACTTTGAAGAGAACATCCTTTCACCTAAGATCTGCTAAGCCCTTCAGAGTTTCACATATATATATATATATATATATATATATTTTTTTTTTTAAATCTCATGTAAGCAGTATTAGGGTAACACTTGTGGTTGCTATCATTTTATTTTGACTCTACCTTTTCAAGCTTTACCTATGGGCAAACTATTGGGAACAACAGTTGAAAATGAAGAGAATTCTTCCGGGAGATTTGCTAGTGAACTGTAAGCTACGTGCCAAGCAGACATGTACACTTAAAACGAATCAGGAAAAAAGAATGACACAGAGATGTCCTGCACCTATTTGCATCTGGCTTATCCTTGCTTGTTTCATTAGTGGCAGTCAAAAAAGACACAAAGGCAAGAAGCAGCATTCTAGAATGGCACTCCCAACCTGTTCCTGCTGTGACTCTGAAAGAGACACCATTAGGGTGTTTACAATGCAAGGCCTTTAGAGGGTGCAGAAATTGGTTGCAGAGCCTACTATTCGTTCCTCAGAGATTGAAACCATGAGAACCATGCTTTAACTGCAAGGCTGGGGCATTGTCTAGACAGTTTCTGGGAGGCTAGTGATCGACTCCTTTATATCAGAGGTATAATTTTTGGTGGAGGGACTCCGCATCCAGTTCCTTTTTGCCACTT